GGAGGGTAGTAAGGGTCCAGATCTCAATGGGGAGATCGTTCCAGAGGGCCGGAGCTGCAACAGAGAAGGCTCTCCCCCCGGGGTGTCACCAGCCGACATTGGCTGGCAGATGGAATCTGGAGAAGGCCTAGTCTGTGCGATCGAATCGGTCTTTGGGAAGTAATTGGCAGGAGGCGGTCTCTCAGGTAGCCAGGTCCGATGCCATGTAGGGCTTTAAAAGTAATGACTAGCACTTTGAAGCGTGTTCGGAGACCAATGGGAAGCCAGTGCAGCTCGCAGAGGATAGGTATAACGTGGGTGTACCTAAGTGCACCCACAATCGCTCGCGCGACTGCATTCTGGACTAACTGAAGTCTTCGAACACTCTTCAAGGGCAACCCCATGTAGAGTTAATGATTCAACTGCAGAGGACCTTTTCAAATTGGCACTATCTATGCTAACTAGGATGGTAAGAGCTGCTGCCTAAACAAAACTGAAAAATAATAGGTCTGGAAAAGCTGAAAAGTTTATCCTGTCTCAAGAATACTATCTCAGGTATGAATTCAATGTTTTGACATAAAGAATTCTGTCTATTTCAGTCCGTGGAAGTGAAATGAAAATGTTTGAATAATAATGAAAATACCTATTTATTGAGCCCATCAATATTATTGCTGCCTAGAATTCCATGGAATACAAGTAAATTATTATGAATACTAATGAATACATATGTCCCTCACATTTATAAATTACTAACAGATGAGCATATATTATGCAGTATTCTGCATTAAGATAGCTGTAAAAAATTGAACAAAAAGGTTTTACAGATATTCCTCCACTTACAGCCATTGTTTAATTGCAAAACTTCCAAAGTCAATTACAATCTACATTTGAATTTACAACCATCACCCTGCTCTGTGATCATGTGATTATAATTCAGGTGCTTGGCAACCAGCTCACATTTATGACTAGGTACACAATCCCATGGTCATGTCATCACAATTTTTGACAGGTTTTTGCTGTTTTCTGATTTAAAAAATGGCAAAAACACTATTAGTTAAGCTGGACTTGCACTTACGATTGTGTAACTTGAATTATGGCCATCATTAGAATGGTTGAAAAATCTAGTACAGTCACAGGATGATTCAACTTACGACTGCAACAATTTATGATGGAAAGTCTGGTCCCAATTGGGGTGGTAAGATGAGGACTACCTCTATAATGCAATTAAGATTTATTGACCTCTTTTTTCTCCCTGGTTTCCCAAAATAATAAAAAACCAGTACCATACAGCACAGCTTTAAAAGTAAATTTCATGACCACGTATTGTTTTAAAAAAACATCATAAATTCTAAATGGGAATAACCAGGATAATTACTTTCCAGTTATACCTGGAAAGATATAAGAACAAATAAAGCAGGCCACTTGTGTGCATTTTGATTGCTCGCATGTCCCCAGGATACTATAACAGAAATAAATACATGACAGTTACTAAGTATCAAAATTTTGATCACATGCAATGCTGCAATGGTTGTAAGTGTGAAAAACTGCCATGTCATCTTTTTTGGTGCCATTTGTAACTCTGAACAGTTGCTAAACAAATTGTTGTAAGTTGAGAACTACATTTTCAATTTAGTAAGTAAAAAATATAAGGCACATGCTGAATTGAGAACAAGTTATAAGCCAATAGTGTAAAGCAGTGTAAAGCAATCTTTAGAAACAGTGACACAGTTCTGGGATGCAGCAGAAGAAATACTGCAGCAAAGATGTAATGAAGTCCTTATCCCCCTCGACTTTTGCACTGGTAACACTGCACCTGAGTAGTATGTATGATTCTAAACATCATATTTTTAGAAGGACATTGATAGATTACAACAGATTCGGAGGAGGGCAACAAAAGTGATACTGGGACCTGATGACATGTCTGTGAGGAAAGACTGAAAGAACTAGGGATGTTCAGCCTGGAGAAATGAAAACTACCAGACAGGATATCAAGATTCAGATAAGCTAAAGAATAAGTTTTCCATTTCACAGAAACTAGGATTGGTAATGGATATATGTTACAGTTCTTTTGTCTAAGTATAAGAGAAATTTTCCTATTAGTTAAGATCTGTACTGGATGCATAATGGAACTGTGGAGTATCCATCTCTTAAGGATAGCTGGATAGTCATGTTTCATGGAATATTTAACTTTAAAATAATTAGCTTTAATATTTTTGTGCCTCTGAAAATCTGGTGAAATCTATAGAGATCAATTATGCTCAAATACAATGTTCAAATATTTTTTAAAAAATGAAATATCACAGTATATATGAAAATAAAATTGTACCCCCCCCCTATAAATTCATAGGCATTGTGAAATTTATCCATGGACCCTCAAAGGGTTGCAGACCTGCCAATTAAGAAGCCCTGGACTAAATGATCCTTCAAGAGCCGAGGTGGTGCAGTGGTTAAATGCAGCACTGCAGGCTACTTCAGCTGACTGCAGTTCGGCTGTTCAAATCTCAC